TTTGTGTGTGTGTGTGTGTGTGTGTGTGTGTGTGGTGTGTGTGTGTGTGTGTGTGTGTGTGTGTGTGTGTGTGTGTGTGTGTGTGTGTGTGTGTGTGTGTGTGTGTGTGTTGTGTGTGTGTGTGTGTGTGTGTGTGTGTGTGTGTGTGTGTGTGTGTGGTGTGTGTGGAGCGGGCAGCTACCCTTTTTCGACGTCATTACGTAAGACCCTAAAACACCACTTGTGTGAAATATACAAGTTGGTGGGTTTATGAAATAAAGCCATCAAGTCAGATGTAATAAATATAGACCAATATTCTAATTATTTTTGTGATCCGACCGACACTACCTGGTCCACAGTGTGTCACCCCGTAGTATCCAGTGGAATAGAAATAATCATACCAGTTTAAGTTCTGTAAAAAATAAATTTAATCTTTTTTTGAATTGCCTGGTATTAACTAATACAATGGGTTTGTAAATTAATTTAATAATATACAAAACATCTCGCGTGTCTCGGGGAACAAATTCCTGGGGTTATACGAAAATAAATTTTATCATTAATGCTTCGTATGTTACCATTAATCCACATTAATTATTTACATAGTAAGCTTTAGATTTAGCCTTAGAAATTCAGAGTTCTGTACGTTTATAATTTTGCCTCGGTGGTAAAAGTGTAATCAAGGACAAATATGATAAATTTCTAATCGTTTTACAGTGTTCAAACTATGTATTCACTCGAAGATATTCCCTACCAATTCCAAATAAGTATCAACCATGAAGAGTCCACAGATTCTCTTGGGTTAAATACTCTGTCCGCTTGTCACCTTAAATTTCCCTACTCACTCCTAACTTAATTACACCTATCAGTGAAGCAACTGTGATATAAGCAGGAGTAGACAAGTGTAACAGAGAGACATGAGAATGTCGATAAGTTGTTCAGGAGGAGCATAAATGAAGGACAAAGCAAACAGTACAGGTTGATTGGAAAGGGCTTTTGGGACTGAATATGTAAGCCACTCGAAGGAAGAATGTGTTTGTATGACGTCACAGGGGTTTTGTGTAAGGGACCAGTGTGTTATATTTTAAAGCGAGCCAGTGTGTTTTATTTCTTTTTTGAGTTTCGTTTTAGAATTGTTAATTGAATGTAAAAGTATAGAATTTGTTTTTTTTTCGCAGGTCAATACACCCTCTTTTATACCGCAAGTACACGTGTTGACGATCAATTTTCAGAATTACGTGAGCGGCTTCTCAAAGAGATTTCGAAGTTCGTGAGATATACATTCCATAGGAATGTAGCGAGAGTGTTTATCTGTGGTGAAGTGAGCTACACAACGTCTCAGCGGGCGACCGACATACCTAACTTAGTATTCAGACTTTACCCGCACTGTATGTTTGACACCTCAAATACGAACCTGAGGAGATGTGTTGTAGTTTACGAGACCTGTGTAGGTTAGTGAGGCGGACGAGGTACTTCATAATATCGGGGACTACACAAGGTGGACGAGACGGAAATGCAACCGTGACACTTGTGGTTACGATCTCGAATGAAGTTCTTCGTTCGAGGAGGTGACCTGAGGACGATAATTTTTTCAGATGAAACTGGTAACATATAGTTCACTGGAGCCATATTCTCACAAGTCTGTTATATTCTAAGAGAAAAGATCTAAAACCTGATTAAATGTTGTTTGGAGTACGTAAGTATACTATGCAAAAGATTCTAAAGTTGCCCATATATATGCTGATAAACTTTGTGTTGATGTTAAAAACACTCATTATTCTCTGTAAGAATGGGAAGTGGATATGAACGAGAATAAGTCTAAAAATTATGTTCTTTAAAGAACTATCATAAATTTTGTGTCTAATGTTTATTTAGTAATACGAATGAAAAAATTTAATAGCTTTATAAATTGATGTCCATTCAGAAATAAGATGGTACAACATATGATTTATTATTTTAATACTAAAAGGTTATTTATTTTTTATTCCTTTTGACGCTGACTATTGAACTTCGACGCAAGTCAATCAAAAGGACAAATCCCAATCCTCTAGAGACTATTAATGTTTGACGTTTTATTTTTACACCTTGTGTAATGTTCAGTAGTTCTAAAAAATTATCCTCAATTCCTTTAATTACAATAATAAGAAGTTAAGTCTTAGTTGTTGACATTAGTATTAGTACAAAAAAGTAACTCTGATGGTAAGATGCCATAGGGGTCCGAACCTTCGCGGGACAAACTGAAGACGAGAATGAGTTGAAGTCCTTTTTGTTCTGAATATTATATTTTAAGCTCCTGGGTTGTGCGACGAGCGAGAGAGAACATTTTAAGTGAATCAACCAAAAAGGAAGAGAATTTTTTATAATTTATGTATAGCGAAAGATGACTATATTTGTCGCCGATGAGGTATAGATATCGGCATGTCCACGTGTCGTCTACTCAATACGACGGTACCAAACGTTTTTCACTTTTGGTACTTACGAGGACTGTATCGGTACCTCATACTGTCAAGTCCACCGCTCGGAATCGACCGCCCTCGTCTTCCTCGAAAAACGACGCGTCACTGCGTCACGACAGTCACCGAGACGTATCATAAATACAACTATTATTTGAGACTAAATACGAAATGACCAAAACTAAGTTGGTTTTTTCGTAATTTAGGAGTTTTTAATTTTTCGGTAATAGTGATATTTGTTTTACCTTTTGGGGTACTCCCAGTGTGTGTGTGTGTGTGTGAATGGTCGACCACCATAGCCACAGCTGGTTGTATTGAGCCAGGAACACACTGCGCAAGCAACAAATAAACGTTAAATGGGATTATAATGATCTCATTTCTAAACAAATAAAATATGCAATATCAGAGACTCTTTAGAAATAAAATATCTGCGTTAAAAACAAATCTATTTTGAATGTGCCAGACATCTGAAAGTACTGAAAGTCCTGATGAAAAGCAGATCTCAGATATTTTTTTACGATGAAGCCAATTTAATAATGCCTTTAAAAATACTTCAAGCCATCCTTGTTTTTGATATTGATATTTGTACATGTAGGACATCTCCAGTTCACATGTAAGTTGTATCAATGGTCTGAAGAAGGAACACATTCTGGTCCTGCTTTCAAAA